AGGGCATGTCTAACTTTACCTCAACTACACAGTTGGTCCAATAAAAGATATCACCCTAAGAAATTCTTACCTTAATGGATTCTGATATGGCAAGAGATTGAGTTATTAAGAGGGAAGTCATAAGGGTTGTTAAAAGAACTGTGTCTTGTGGTGTTTTACAGGGATCTATGCTAGCTCTAGTGCTACTCAGCCTTTTTTTATGAGTCATCTGGAAGTTTATATATATATATATATTATAGCATATATATAACAAATCATTGATAACTTTAGTTGACAAAGTGATAAATAACAAGAACAGGGCAGTCACTACAGAGCATCCTCAGTCTCTTGGTATGTTGGGCCCATTCAAGCAAAATGCAGCCAAATACCCAGTTACTACCTAAGAACAAGGAATGCAAACCATAGCTACCAAGCACAGACTGGATCCTGGAGCAGGGACTTTGAAGGGATTTAGGAGGAATAACAGTCACTGCCATATGAGCTCCCAATGCAATCCTGCGGCAAGAGAAACCACAGTTCTCAGACGTATAAAGAGTGAAGTAGTGATTTTTTTTCCCCCTTTGCAAGTGGGATTGATGAAAATGATATCAGCATACTTAATACAGAGGGCTGAAGAAAAAAGTAGCTCAACCCGTCTATCCTGCCAGAGAGATGATTGAAGTGACTTGATTAGCCTCTAAGCACTTTTGCTGGGAAAACATACTGGGGTTTCTAATCTGGCAGGAGAAAAGACAGCATGAATCAGAGGCTGAAAGCTGAAGCCAGCCAAGTTGCAGCAAGGGTTGGATATTAGGAGGGTGGTGAAGCACTGGAATGAGTTACCCAGAGAGGTGCTGGGATCTCCATCCTTGGAGGTGTTGAAGACCCAGGTAGACAAAGCCTTGGCTGAGATGATGTAGTTGGGGCTGGTCCTACTTGGACCAGGGGGTTGGACTAGAAGTGCCCTCCTGAAGTCCCTTCTGACTCTTATTTTCTATGATTCAAGTTAGGGACAAATTTTTAACAAACAAGGGTGCTTTGTCCAGTGGAATAATTTTTTCAATTAAATGGTAGATTCTCCATCTCCCAAGGCCTTCAAAATCAAGACAGTGGCTTAAGGAAGGTTTGACTGTAATGAAACACCACTGGGGCACCTTGACATCCTTTCAAGGTTGCCACACAGTGCTGGCTCTTTTAAGTGTGCAAACACGATGCACAAGATAAACCCAGAGGTTTCAAATAGGAAACATCCTGCCCTGCTGTGGCCTTTCTGAGTTCTTTGCAATGCAAAAATTTGCTCTATTATTTTTTTCTGTAGTCAATAAACAAGTGGAAATTAAGAGCTGGCATTTTCTAAGGGAAGCCTTGAGTTTGGCCAGAGGTCAAACCCACTGAACTAGATGGTCTCAGTCCTGGAAATCTGAGTGCTCTGAAGGCATATTCAAGATCCCGTGACACTCAACGGACCCCCTTTGCACCTGTATCAGTCTGAGCCCAGGGCTAGGCAGAGCACATGGGCCAAATACTGTCCTTGTGGAGGATTGGGTTTGGGGTCAACCAGACCCCTTCATGCACTCATACTTATCCTAACAAGCCCTTCTGGGGGGAAATAAAAGCATGAAAGTACCTCAAAAATAAAATCCCCATGAATCGCACACCATTAGTTATGACATACCATCCTTCCCTGGAGCCTCTCTGGAAAATCCTCAAGCAATTGCAACCCATACTAGAAAAAGACCCAATTTTAAAAGAGATCTCTCCAAAGCCACCCATCATAGCTTTTAAACAAGCATTGAACCTCGCCAACTTCACCACCAGAAGCAAAAAGTCCTACGGCCGAAAGCACACTGAATGGATCCAGACCATGCCGGGACAAGACATATAAAACCTGCCAATACATCTCCAGCACCCCCACAATAACTACACCCCACAACAGGACCATCCCCATTTCTGGATCTGACCCCTGCACCTCCAGAAATGTGATATATCTCATCCAGTGCACTGAATGCCTGGATGGGAACTATGTAAGAGAAACCAAGCAACAACTGCACGCAGAATGAATGCACACTGCAAATCCATCAAAAACAAAAATACAAAATGACTTGTGAGTGCCCACTTCTCATGAGACAACCGCTCTCTCTCCGGTCTCTGTTTTAATCCTCAAAGGGAATTTACAAAACACCTTTCGTAGACGAGCCGATGAACTTCACTTCATAAATCTACTGGATACCAAAAATCATGGACTAAATCTAGACATCGGATTTATTGCACATTATCACCTGCCTGCCATCCAATAGCCCCAGGTAACTACTCCGCATTTTACCAGCTACATTCTGTCACCAGATCAACATTTTCTCCTTTCCTTCCCACCTACCTGTCTCACACCCATTAACCCCCATCCCATCTGATCTTCCCTGCCATGCATTTGCATTTTCACAAATTTGCATTTTGCATATTGCCTTACACCTCTATTCCACCCAAGAGAGTAGACAAACACCAGCAGACTCTCCCTATGCCCGAAGAAGTGTATTTGTGCCCAAAAGCTTGCAAAGAACAATTTTTTCTAACTATTTAGTTGATCTAATAAAAGATCACATTTACCCAAAGTGCCCTTTCTGCTCAAAATGTCAAAGCCTTTAGGCTGACACGTTTTGTACAGGTTTCAGATTTTCTATTATCAAAGGTTTCCTTTCTAGGGTGGCTTTGCTCTTAAAAAACACACAAAACAGGTGGGAGGTGGGGGGAGGTGGGGAAATCTACTGAAAAAGGTCAAAAAGTCCCCAGCATTTTGCTTTTAAAAGCCAAACTTCCCCCTCACCTGAAAACAGTAGTGTCAGAGCGATGCTGTAGCCGTGACAGTCCAGAAATTATGCGAGCAGCCAGCATTTTTTAGGGTGATCGCTTTTATTGGACCAACCATGCCTGAGACCTGAGGAAGAATGTTTTACAAAGCTTGTCTGACTTTATCCCAGCTCCAGGGCTGGGCCAATAAAAGATCTCACCCTAAGAAATCCTCAACCTGAAACAACATTTCTTATTTTGGGGTCCAACCAGCTGAAAGACTAGAGTTGTTCTACCGGTCTCCTTCTGGTCAGCAAGCTTCCTACGTGTGTGTGCGCCTCGCTGCGAGGCCCGCGTACGAGGCGGAAGTGCCCAACCTTTGTCAGTTTGTTCTGTTAGACCCAAAAACTATCGCAGCTTCCAAAGCACAGGCTCTTGAAAGCTCCCCTGGGTCTTGCCAATTCCCCAGCAAGAGGCTTTGCTGATCTTCCCCAGCCTTGCAATGATCCTTGAGTTTCCTACTTGCTGCCAAAAATTCAGTGGAGACACTTGCATATTTACTTTTGTTCCCCTTCGTACCCATAAATGGGCTATTTTGCTTCTTTGGTCAGGACCGAACTTGACCATCTGACACGGGGCTACTGCAAACACCAACATAACCTGACATCAAGGGCAACGAGGCGTTTCAGAAACAGCCGCTCATCTCTGCCTTGCAGGAACAAAGCCCCTGCATCTGCAGCTCTACAGCTACATTAAACTCCCTCCATGCTGAGGTACCAAAAGACAGGACAAAACAAGCTCTGATGCTGCTCAGCTCTCACCAGGGTATAGCAGTAATGCCCCGTCTCCCATCAGGCCTGCATTTCCCAACCAGTGCCTTCTCGCCAAAACACCTCCTCGTCTCAGGATACTCTACCCGACTCCCTGAAACTTTCCCAGCTGCCTAAAATCTTTTAACTGAACTCGCCACAAAAATCAGTCGTTACCAGTGCTCAGACCCAACTGAGCAAAGAAGGAGTTTTTTTAGCAGCAGCACAATCTACCTTAACTCTGTGCAGAGAGGGGATCCCCCTCTATTCGGCACTGGGGAGGCCACATCTGGAGTCCTGAGTCCAGTTGTGGGCCCCCCACTGCCCACAAGGAGAAAGGATGTGGGGAAATTGGAGAGAGTCCAGAGGAGGGCAACGACAATGGTTTGGGGGCTGCGGGACAGGACTGGTGAGAGACTGAGGGAATGGGCTGATTGAGTCTGCAGAAGAGACGACCGAGGGGGATTGAATAGCAGCCTTCACCTCCCTGCACGGGGGTTGCAAAGAGGATGGAGCTGGGCTGTTCTCAGTGGGGGCAGATACAGGGCAAGGATCAATGGGCTCAAGCTGCAGCAAGGCAAGTTGAGGTTAGATATTAGGAAAAATTTTCTCACTAGAAGGGTAGTAAACTGGAACAGCCTACCTATAGAGATGATGGAGTCTCCATCCTTGGAGGTGTTTAAGACCCATCTAGACAAAGCCTTGTCTGGGATGATGTAGTTGGGGCTGGTCCTGCTTGGACTAGATGTGGCCTCCTAAGGTCATTTCCAACCCTCATTCGCTATGATTCAATGATTTTTTTAATTAAATATTTGCCATTAAAGTTTTTCCTAAGATGTTAAAATTTTCTCTCAGCCTCCTTCCTCCCCAGCACTCCTTGCTGCATGCCCACCAGTTCCCATCAGACCTGAAAACAAGTCCCAAATTGACAGGGTTTGGCACTGAACCATGGAGGAGTCTGAGAGATCTCTTGAAAAGCCCAGCGGCCTGTTACCACCGGCCTGCACGGTTTCATCCAAGGAGGACCGCCAGCCCGTACACGGAAAGGCCATTCAACCTCAAAGCACGAGGCACAGCCACAAAGCTTGGTATAAACATGACATGTTTATTGAATGCTGCATCGGGGATGTGTATCTAGCAACGCATCCGTTTCCTCACTCGCACTTTCTGCCCATCTCACAGGGAAGCAGTGTCTTCATCACTGACCTGGAAGATGGGATGCAGTGCACCCTCAGCAAGTGTGCAGATGACACCAAGCTGGGGGGAGCAGTAGATACGCTGGAGGGTTGGGCTAGGATTCAGAGTGACCTAGAGAAACCGGAGGATAGGGGCAAAAGAAATCTCATGAGATTAAGCAAGGACAAGTGCAAAATCCTGCACTGAGGACGGGACAATCCCATGCACTGGTGCAGGCTGGGGGCCGACTGGCTGGGCAACGGCTCTGCAGAAAAGGACCTGGGGGGACGGGACAAGAAGCTGAACAGGAGCCAGCAGTGTGCCCTTATTGCAAAGAAGACTAACGGCATCCTGGGCTGCACTGGTAGGAGTGTTGATCTATGATTCGGTGAAGGATGCCTTATAAAATGTTTGCACGCCATCTGAAGTTGGGAAGTGCTCACTTAAGTGCTCAGGCTTGTCATCTAATGTCCCTCTTATATATTCACCAGTTGTTCACAGTCACACACATATTTATCTGTTACATTATCTCCTAATATGTGCAACGGCCTGTTTGAGCTCGAAAGGGGTGTTACATACACATGGATTTCAATACACATGATCAGATAGCTTAATTTATCCTAGGAAAAGATAACATTGACTACATATTTCAGTCTTTTGGGGGGTCACAGAAGCCTCTGAGATTCCAGGTGGGTCAGGTACTTAAGTGAAAGTATCTGGTGTCATTGCAAAGTCGTTTTTTGGAGCCACCAAAGAGGCAGAGTCCTCCCAGCGGGGTTCTGGAGGGCAGGATTTCTCTTGCATTCACCGCACAAGCTAGCGCCTTCCTGATGCATGCTGATCCTATGTCTTCCCCGTCTCGCAGCGATCCTAGAGAGTTTCCTATTCACTGCCAGAAGGTACAAGACAGAGTCCTGTACCTTTTTCTGGTTACCGATTCGCTTGTGGATGCGATTCAGTTCTGTGTTTCTCTTACCAGACATTTTTTGGTGCTCACCACTGGACTATCTGAGCACATCTGTCACTGACAGGTCCCTCCCTGTTTGCCTTCTGGCTGCACTTGCACTTGGCTGCAGCCTTTGCTCTCCATGGGCTAGGAGCGCGGTTGTAGCTGTGATGATCCAGAGGATGAATGAGAAGCAAGGTTTCTTTGGTAATATCTTTTACCGGATCAACTGTATCACGGGGAGAGAGGTTAGGCAAGGACTCTTTGTGCTCAGAAGCTTGTACAACATCTCTCCCAATGATTACAGGGGGTCCAATAAAACCATGAAAATGTTTTTTGTCATCTCTCCCCAAAGCTGAACCTGTCAGAGGAGAGGGGTGCTGGGACATTCCCGGGGGCTGATCCATCTGCTGCAGCAGTGAGAGCAAAACAGAGCCGCGCACAGCACATGCATTTCAAGCACAAAGGGGTCGAACAAGAGCAACAGGAAGATGAGATGCCATAAGGCAGGGTGCGGACACCTGCCAAGACAGCGGCACATCCCATCATCCCCTTTCTCTCCCACACAGGGATTTCTCATGCCCAGAAGCCCATGACCTACAGGGATATCAGGTGCAATAGAGGAAGGGAGAGTATCAAGATAACTTCCTAGAGACGTGATGTAGTGGGCTGTGAAATCACCAGCCCAAGGAAGCCACACAGCATAGACGTAGCTGGACAGGGGGCTAGAAATGGGCGCTGGGGAACCGGCTGGCCTTAACCCTGCAGGAGGAACTGGACTTCCCATCTCAAAACTTCCCAACTGCATTCTTCTGTCCGTGCATATCCCTCCACAGGGAAGCAGAGACCCGCGTGTGTGCAAGGTGCTTCCCACAGCTCTCCACAGGTCCCTCCCAGGGTCTGAGCACCTGTAACCTGCTGTATAAATGCTCATTCTTGCTCAGAGCGAGCAAGGGGAACACCAGTCACCACGATGCTCTTTGTTGTGTTGGTTTTAGCCGTGTTAGTCTAAGGACATGGGCAGACAAGGGTCTTTGGGTAGACGTGATATCTTTTATTAGTTTGTCTAATAAAACCAACTAAGTTTATACACCATTAGTCTATAGACTAATTAGTCTAAACTAGTAGACCATTAGTTTATAGGCCAACTAATAAAAGATATCACATCTACCCGAATACCCTTGTCTGCCATGATGCTTTTTTGCACTTAACAAACAGAAGCAGGAGCTTCTGGGATCCTCTCTGCTGCTCAGAAAACACAATTCTGCTGGACCCAGGAAGAAATGATCCCCTGCACCCGATCTGCTGAGGGAGAGGAAACCTCCTTCCCAGTCTTTTCATTTCCAGTGAGTGGAGCAAGGTGGAGGACTGGTGGAGAGGGTGAGGAGGCTGTGCCCAAACCCTGCAAAGGGCTATCAGAAGATACCGACAGGATTGCTTTGCATCTCTGCTCCCCGTTTTGATAACGGTTCCCCCATGGATGAGGTCGGCTATTTTTACAGGAAAAATGACCTGGGCTATTGCAGGATGGCTTTGACGCCCATCATGAGGAGTCTTTGGTTTCTACCCCGGGTCAGCTTCGCAGAGCAGAGCACGCGCAGCCTGACAGCACTGCCGATACCACGATGGTGTTTCTTTCCTGCTCCTAGATCAGACCGCTGCTTCTGGGAGTCCCCCGGGGGTCTGCACAGCTTTACCAAAGCTGCTTTAGCAGGCCTGGGGATGACCAGCTTAACTCACAGGGGGTGCTGCCGGGGACTTCTCAGGGACCTCGACTGGGGGCTCTGGGCAGCTGGTGGCGTGGACGTGCTGGTGCAGCAGGAGCTGCTGCTCCTGGGAGAAGCTCTCCCCGCACCAGACGCACCGGAAGGGCCGGACCTGGCCTTGGTGGCTCCTCTGGTGCATGGCCAGGCGCTGCGCCTGCCGGAAGCTCTTGCCACAGTGGGTGCAGATGAGCGGGCCCTGCCCTGCGTGGACCCGCTGGTGGGTGAGCAGCACCTTGCGCAGCCGGAAGCTTTCCCCACAGTCAGGGCAGGAGAAGGGCTTCTCCCCCGTGTGAAGCCGGACGTGCAGCTTGAGGGTGATCTTGTCCTTGAAGCTCCTGCCGCAGTGGGTGCAGGGGTAGGGGCGCTCGCCGGTGTGGATGCGCCGGTGGCTGAGCAGGTGGTGCTTCTGCGTGAAGCGCTTCTGGCACTCGGGGCAGGAGAAGGGCTTCTCCCCCGTGTGCACGCGCCGGTGGATCACCAAGTGGTGCTTGTGGCTGAAGATCTTCCCGCAGGCCTCGCAGGCGAAAGGCTTGGCCCCCGTGTGCACCACTTGGTGGATGCTCAAGGGCGTCTTGTCCTTGAAGCGCTTGCCGCACTGGGCGCACTGGAAGGGCCGGCTGCCGGAGTGGGTGCGCTGGTGGCTGAGCAGGTGGTGCTTCTGGGTGAAGCGCTTCTCGCACTGGGCGCAGGGGAAGGGGCGTTCGCCCGTGTGCACGCGCCGGTGGGTGAGCAGGTGGTGCTTGTGGTGGAAGACCTTCCCGCACGCCTCGCAGGTGAAGGGCGGCTCCCCGGCGTGCCCCCGCAGGTGGGCGAGGAAGGCCTGGCGCAGGCGGAAGCAGCCGCCGCACTGGGCGCAGGTGAAGGGGCGCTCGGCCGCGTGGGTGCGCAGGTGGGTGGTGAGGTGCTGCTTCTGCGTGAAGGCGCGCCCGCACTCGGGGCAAGCGAACGGCCTCTCCCCGGTGTGGACGCGTCGGTGGATGAGCAGCGCCGTCTTGTCCTTGAAGCACTTGGCGCAGTCGGGGCAGGCGTGGGGCCGCTCGGCCGCTATCCCGTGGGGGGCACCGTGGGCTTCGTGGTCCTCGGTGCCCCCAGACGGGCTCCTCTGCTGCCCCTGGGTCCGGCAGCTCAGAGCTGAGGACGGAAAGGATTTCTCTACTGTTCTGCCACGTGCGGCCAGCATGCCAGCACCTTCCTCGCAGAGCCATTCCTCCTCTTCTTCCTCCCTTTTAACGATGATCACGTGGCCTGCTGAAAAGAGGAGAAAGCCTAGACGTCGTTTCATCTGCTTGGGACAAAAGAAAGCTCCCACAGTCAGAGCAACCTGAGCCACGCTCGCGGGGTGTCTCTCTCATGACCCCTCATATAGGATGGTTTGGGCAGGGCTGATCCTGCCTCAGGCAGGGGTCGCATTAGATGTGACGCCCCTCCCAGCCCCGCTTCTCTAGGATTTCTGTGACTCACCTGCCCAAGTATCTGGGGGTCTGCATCCAGCTCTCCAGCCCTGGGGATCCCACACGTACAGCTCCTCTCCTTTCTCCAGCTGGCAGATGAGCTCTGGCTTGGTACTGGGGCATCCTGTGCAGAGCAGAGCAACACGGTCTGGTCAGGGAGGCCGGCTCAGGGCGAGGGGTTTCCCTAGACACCACATCAGACCAAAGCCCCTTGTCAAGCGTCCTTCATAGGACAGGAAGGTTTTCGTTGGCTCCAGCTGGACACCCTGGTCCTGCGTGTCTAACTCACCGGTAGACAGATAGGAGCCCTCCCTCCCTTGCAGGGAGGTGAAGGCTGCTATTCAACCCCCTCGGTCTTCTCTCCTCCAGACTCAATCAGCCCAGTCCCCCCAGCCTCTCCTCACAGGTCCTGTCCCCCAGCCCACAACCATTTCCACTGGCTTCTGCTGGACTCTCTCCCATGTGTCCACATCCAGCCCAAAACTTCTTGTGATGAGGCTCTTGGGATGCACACAGAGATGCCTTGTGTTATTTCCTGCTGTGCCGTGACACTGTAAAGCAGAGCTTTCCAAACTGTGTGCCGCGACACATTAGTGTGTCGGCGGCAGTGTGTAGGTGTGTCGTGCGACACGCAGAAAATTTTGCGGAAGGGCACCGCGGAGATCCCTTACTCGCGTCTGCTTCCCTTGGCCCCTCCCCCGGAACTGAATTACTGTGTCGCGAAATGATGCATGTCTAAAAAGCGTGTCACCAACACGAAAAGTTTGGAAAGCTCTGCTGTAAAGGGACTGAGAATACAAGAGGAATTTCTTCTCATTGCATGGCCCTACATCACATAAGCAGCACAAAGGCTAACTATTCCCTGCCCCTCAAACACGATGCTGGCAGGCAGAGCTCAGCTTGGGTAAGACAAGCATCCTTAACCTGCTATGTCCTGCCTCCTTCATGGCTTTGTTTTCACTGTGCTATTCATGATCTTGGAAGGACTACACTGGGGACAAGGGGGGATCAGCTCCATGTTACCTGCTGTTCCCCACTGGAAGAGTGAAATCTCCTCTTATTCAGGCAGGTGCTAAGCATCCTCCTGAGCACAGGAGCTTGACCTCCACCTGTACAGCAGCCTTTGCGCCGTGCATCTGAATAGTAACAGGATGCTGATCGGCGGGCACCCCAAAAAGAGAATCATCTCACCTGCTGGGACTGGCTTGGCACGGACCGTGTCACCCAAGAAGCAACCTCTCCTTACCCAGAAAAGAGATGAGCTCGTAATTCTCCTTCATCACCTCCCGGTAGAGCTCCCGCTGCCATCCTGCCAGCTCTGCCCACTCCTCTGCTGAGAAATAGACAGCGACGTCCTCAAACGCCACGGGCACCTGGAAGACAAGCAGCCCCTGCTCAGCACCTCGTGTGCCAGGCACACTCCACCCCTGCAGCCCCAGCTCGCTCCCGATTCAGCTCTGCAGGAAGCCGAAAGGAAAGAAACCCTCCTGCTCCACGTCGGAGCTGCAGTCGTGGCCCGGCAGTGTTTGCAGTCGTTTTCCGCACCATGGGAATGACAGTGAAAGCAAAGCCAGTTTTATGCCATGGTGCTAAAGCCCAGCTTGTTGCATCCCTTTCTGCAACCCAAGACAGGGTGGTACCTTATGGACCCGGCCCTGCCTCCAGCCTGACTTCAGATCACCGGGGCTAACTAGGTCTCTGTCACCCAAATCCTACCAAAATTCTCCAGGGAGCAGCAAGACACCTTTTAGCCATCCCTTCTCGATACAGACACAGTCTCAGGGGTGTATTTGTTAAGTTTGCTGCCCCTCCTTGACATCTGCATTGGAGCATGGGATTTCACAGGACTCCTTCAAGCCTAAGTAAAGGGAAGTTGATTCCAAGAAACCTTAAAGCATCAAAACCCGCCTCCCTCCCTTGTCAGTGTTTATGCTGTTAAGCTTTGGGACTTCACAAAACATCACCCCCGTGCTCTGAGCAAGCATCCCTCTTTATTCATGACTGGCAATACTAATTTCGAACACTCCCTTGGCCCTTTCCATCTACAGAGCTCGAGACTGTGATTATCTCTATGCCCATACTGAAGACAAGGAAAATGCAGCTCAGAGGGAAGGATGGATTTACATAGATATAAGCTGGTGCTTGCTATATATATCTTCATTAATTAGTCTATAAAGGTGCATAGCTACCTATAAAGGTTAGTTTAGTTAGTCTAGACAGGTGCCTGGCAATGGCTCTGTCACTTCAGAGAATCTCCCGGTTGACTTTGATCAGCATAAACCATGACAGATCTAGGGCCTTTCTCCTCTATCCCTGCCCGTGGGTGATCCTTTACACCAGTGCAAAATGGGCAGCATTCTGATGCACATGCATTGCACTGGTGTAGGTGACTGGAGGATGGAAAAATCAGAGGCACTATATGAAACTCAGCATAATGAATGCAAAAGCAATTTTTCTTTGGGGCTAAGCCAGGGCTCCTCATACACAGAATAATGAGGATGAGGTCACACTTTTCTCCTTCCTCTGTGTGTCTTGGCTCTCACAAGGGGCTAAACGCTGCAGTTTGCACCCGGACAAAGTTTCCACCGAAATCCGGGGCAGCTCCGAGTGGGGGAGAGCTATGGGTGCGACTCGGCTACGTGGAGCGCAACGCTCCCTGCTCGTGGTTGACATGTCCTGAGCAGCTCTGCTCCATCACCTGCCCAAGGAAGATAACACAGATGCTTAGCGCTCTGTATTATCAGTGCTCTTCTGTGACTCGGTTTACCTGCTCCCTCGGCTGGCCTCTCTGTGCTCCACAACCCTCTTTCCTTTTGAATGGTCTTATTTTCTTACATAATTAGTCTAATCTATTTCAACTGCCCTTTACTTGGTCTGTGCCTACTTCCAATAACTTCTCTTCGCACTACAGGTTTACTGCCCACTTCCTTTTTATTTTAAGTGACTATTTTCATTGTCATAATGGAGTTACGGAGGGCCTTGTTCTACCTGGTATTTCTCTCAGGACATATCTGCTTCTCTCAAACCCAAGGAAGGGCACTTTGTGCCCGAAAGCTTGTCTAGCATCGCTCCTAACTACATAGTTGGCCCAAAATGAGATATTACTGAACACTTCTCAGCTGAAATCATCCTCTTCACTGATTTCAGCAGACATGCTACATGCGGATGCACTCTGTTCAACAGCAGATGGATTCACATCTGTTTCATCCACAGAGTCATCATATTTAGGGACTGTGTTGAGTCTCCGGCCTGATCTCTAGCATAATGCAGACCAGAGGCTTCCACCCAGGGGTTGCTGTGTGTTGTGGATGAGCCACCTCACTCTTTC